AATTATTATATATATATATATATATATATATATATATATATATGAAATAATATAAAGTAATTTTAAGGGCATGCAGATATAAATAAGAAAAAATTATAGTTTGTTATCGTTTTATATATATTAAATGTTATTAAATGTTAATAATATATATTAATATACTGTCGATTAAAATATTTTCAATTGTTATCTTGCGTATTCTCTTATCGTCTATGCGATATTTCTTTCATTTTATTCTCACATATTTAATTCAGATACAATTCTCCAAAAATTGGTTGAAATGATTCTGAAAAACGTGTCGTTCAAATCAATGGGACGAGATGGCTTTTGATGTCAATCAGCTGGAAAGCGTGTTGAGGGAAAGAAAAGAAAAGTCGCGAGAAAGAAGCAGGCCAGTGAAGAGATTTGAAAGACATCTAATGGTTCGCGCTAGCAGATGTCACATGCTCGCCAGTCGATGTTTTCCAAACAGGCGTCCACCGCCAACGCAGCTTCTTACTCCAGCGTTCAACTCTCCAGCCGATACTAACGATCCTGCGAACGTTAGGCTATGGAGGTCCCGCAGGGGCCCTGAGGAAGAAATTCCAGACTCGTATGCTCCTCGTGCTCGCAGGCTCCGCGTGAACTTTCATTTTCAAAAGTGACGGAGAGAGAGAGAGAAAGAGAGAGCTCAGTTACGTATCTACAAACATCATGTATACGTTCGAGAGTCTGACTAGATTCGGAAGAAATTTTTCAATAATCATTTATTGTGAGAATTAAACTCGAGTAAAGAGATCATCGGAAAATAAGTAAGAAACGTAAGTTTTCTTTATAGAATTCAATAGTCTTATTTAATGTAAGATACAATATAAAGTGATTATTCTAATAAAAATAATAATTTAATAATAATTTAATCTTTAAATTGTCATATATAAAAAGTTTTTCATACAAGTAATATGTCAGTAGTTTATGTAATAAATTTTCTAAAATAAATAATAATTTAATTTTTATAAAGAATCAGACATAAATTATAATTTTTTTAATATTAATATTTTGAGAACAAGGAAGAGGAAAAAAGAAGAGAGAGAAATAGATAAATAGATAGAATAGATAAAATAGATAGAATAGATAAATAAATAGATAGATAGATAGATAGATAGATAAAAAGAGAGGGAGAGAGAAAGAGATGTTTATTATTCGTAGTTTTGTAAATATTTTTATGTATTGTTTTAATTAAATATTTATTGAAAATTTATAAAAAAGCATTACATGAAAAATTTAAGTTATAATTTAAAATCTTTCGTTTTTATAATAATTTTAAATATGCTAATAAATGTGCTAATTATATATAATTATATATAATAATATTATATATAATTTTAAATATGCTAATAATTTAAAATTTAGTACATTTTGACAACGAAATTACATATTTCGTGAAATGTCACTAACGCGTGAAATACTGATAAATTTTTAATTATTTAATAACGCATATAGATTTATTTAACTGTAATATAGAAAAATTTAATAAATACAAAATAATCTAACGATAATTTAATTTTATTGAATTATTTATTTTTAAAGTTGTAATATATAATAAAAATTTAGATTGGTTGAAAATAGTTCTTGTAACTCAATAGGTATATGAAAAAATTGAATTCACTACATTATCTAATCATTGGAGTGAAAAACATATGCAGAATATATAAACTTTATTCTTTTATCTATTTTGTATTTCATATCTATTATGCCTATATGTATAAACTAGCATAAAATAATAATAATATTTTTTATTATATTATATTATATTATATTATATTATAATAATCTTTTATTCAATATTAAATAAACAAATAAGATATATATAGCTCGAAAAATATTTTGTAATAAATATAACAAAATATTTCAATTTATGTTAATAAAATAATTGATATACATTTCTAATAATATATTAATTAGTATATTATTTTATAATTTATTTGTCACTTTATATAATCCAAGCAGCACTGTGTGATACATCTCATAATTATTAGAAGAAAATGACATTTGAAAATTTTCGTAAAAATGGGTATATTTCAATTTTTTCCATTCTAAGAAGTTTAAAGATTCTGAGAAGAATGCGAAATGGAAATGCAACGGTAACTGATACGTTTTAAAAGAAAAGAATATAAAGGAAAGGTTCAAATGTGTATTGGAAAAAAACAGATACGATTACAACTTATCTATTCAGAGTTGCATGAGGAAAACTTTCACCAAGCGAATAAACAAATTCCTCAAGAAAAATTGAAGTAGGATATCACAAGGAAAAATATTTTGTCGGATATATTTTAAGAGCAAAGCGATTATATTAGTGTAATTTCATGATATTTCATTAATATATTCTCTGCATATTATCAAATTTAAAGAGGGATAATGAATCCTATGTACTCTATAAATCCTATCTATTGTAAATATAAAAATATAAGTATCTATCATTCTACTTATTTAACAATCGCGTTTGATGAAAAAAAACGTGTTACGAAAATAACACGACTACATTTAGTGTTGTATACAACAAGAATACAAATTTTCATGTTTAAATATCTTATCATTCGCAGTCGAAGCATGTCAGACCTGTGCGAAAGATAATGTCACGTACATCGATGTTACAGTCACTGTCGCAGCAAAATTATATTACTCGAGGCAAATACTCCACGCTCGTCGTAATTTGGCGCGTAAAAATGGCAGATGATGTCGACAGCGCGATTCCGCAAATTGAATGCGCAACAACGTGTTTCACACTCACCTTCAGTTCAACATTCATGTGATCCTGTGGGATAAATCCAAGATGAAACGAGCGATGTGATTGCACCGTCTTGGCAGAGACTTCGAAAAGAAATTCTGCGTTGACTTTGTGACACGCTGACTTTTGTGACGAGTCTTTTAAGTTAGCGATATATTCACACTCAGGCGCACCAGGCATACGAATTTATCGCTGATTTAATGCCACCAAGGAAACACACACTGTTAACGAAAAAACGGTTTGACTTCGTGAAATCGTTCCAAGAAACGCACCAATTTACAAATCCTACTGATATCGATTCCGGTTTGTTTCGTAACGCGTGACAATTGACATCGTTCACCGATCGTAGACGTCGTAGGCACCTCGATACGATGCGAGCAGATTTCTCTTGACATACGAAGATGAAGTCGTGACTGTACGAGAGATTGGTTTCACACATTTGATAAGAGAAGCTGCACGCTACATGAATACGCGTTATCACTGTCGAATGTGTCGACTTCGCACTTTGCGTCTTAACGTCGCTTCCACGAAGATGTCCAATGTCGAGAATGTTGTTTGAGAATGTTTGATTCACTCTTATCTATGTTACCTCACTCGAATTTGAAATACACGTATTTAGTTCTGTCCAATATACAAGAGAGATGTGTTTTCACTAATAATAGATGATAACATCTTGCTCCTAGATTTATATCGAAAGCACTTTGTAGAAAGTCAAGAGATTCCTTACTCTTCTGAATATAGATCACTCATTCCTTGATAAACGAAAAGAGAAGCTGGAGTCAAGACGAGATAGAAAAGATTGACGAAGAGGTAGCCGAACGAGAACACGGGCGCGCGCGATCGTGAACATGCGAAAGAGGAAGAGTCAGCTTTCACGAGAATTCCTACCGATCCTTCGAGGCCTCTGCTTTGGTCCGCGCGTCGCACCTTGTGGAGAGCGAGTCTCCAGGTCGAGTCGGCCATGCAACAACGCACAGGTCCACGCTGAGCAGGACTCTCTCTTTGTCTCTCCTACACTTGATCTCCTCTCTCTTTCTCTCTCTCCCTCTCTCCTTCTTTCCATCTTCGACTACCACTACCATCGTTACCACCACTCGTCGTCATCATCATCATCGGCGCAACGGCACGGCAGGGCCGAAGCACCTTCTCCTTCGCCGCCGTGGGGCGCGCACTTCTTTGGCCCTCTCGCCCCACCGCGTCGCCCCTCTAAAACGCCGCAAAGCAGAAGACAGCTCTTAACTTCCCCACCTTCACCGCTATCCAGCTTCCCACCATCCTCCTTCTCGCACCTCCTTTCGTCTCTTCGTCTTACCTCATAGAACGTTCTCAGTTCCCCTCCTTCTCTCTTCTAGCCAGGTATGACACGGTAGGTATAAGCTACATATATATACACGCATACTAGTTAAACTTCTGAATTTCTGACTCGTAATAGTAGGTGTAGGATACATTCGTGCGATGTCACGCATAAGAGCTCCCACAGAGCTCCACACACCTTGCGTGTGTGATGCATCTGGACCAGAAAAAAAAGCATATATTCTGTTCGCGAAGAGAATACAACTCTGAAGATGCCGCGGGAATGGAAAGGTCGCGGGTGCAGATGTTGTTCCGGCGAAGGAAGTGTTTAATTTGATGATGATAATGATGAGCGGTTCCAAATGTGGTCCGAGTAATATTAAATTAATCGAGTCGAACCTTTTGTAAAAGTTGAGGATAAAAGACGACACGATGTTTTCACATCTTAATTACTTTACATTATTTAAAAATATAATATATATCTATAATATCAAATCATTTTTAATAATCATTCAGCAAAATTGTCTCGATAAAAACTGCAAATATTTACAAAATATTTTTCAAACAGATGAAAACATTTATTTATATATAAATATATCTCTAATTATTTACATATAATTATTGCAATATTTATTTTTAAAATAATGCTAACATTATATAATTCAAAGGCATACAATAAATGCGATTCATATATTTCTTATTAATTATTTCTTACATATATTTATAAGAAACAATAGCACGTAAAATACCATTATTTTATTACCTTATGCGTAATCTATTTAATGTGTGATTACTATTAATATTTATTTCTCATATATATAGAATTAAGAATAAAGATCAATTTTAAAAAATAAATATAAGAATTAATTTCTATTGCTCATATATAACATTAAAATGTTTAAGATAATAATTAGGATTAAAATATTGATTTATAAATCGCATAATTGTAATCATAACTGCAATATGTTTGTAGTCAGATATACTGAGAGGAGGACTAGTGAGAATCTGTAATCGAGTTACGTAAAAGCCATGTTAGACAGGCGTGAAAATACATCGTGTTCGGTTTCCAAGAAGAATCTATTCCCGCGGAGTTGCTTCGAGGAAGGAACTCTTGTCGTTGTATTTCAAAAATTACAGCAGCACGAAGGCAGCAGTACAACGACCGTTTGCCCTTTTCATGATGTGCACACTTGTTTTATCGTAAATACATTTTCGTCAAGAAATATTCCACGAAAGATCAGAAACATGCAATGCATTTATCGATTTTTTTATTCATTATAAATTAACTTAAGAAATGCTAACAATTATATTTAAAAAATTGTACATTTAATAAATAATTTTAAGTATCCTTTATATTGCAATATAATTTAAAACAAAATTAATAATTCTCATATTTTCAACATTTTATTAATCTATTTAACATATCTTATTAAAATAATATCATACAAGTCATATATATCACGTTGTTATAAAAATATAGATTTTTCAAATGCAATGAAATAGTTTTAATTAATAATTTCAACTAATCAAATATTATAAAATACTATATCTATATCTTTACTATATCTTTTAATATTATGTTTTATATTTATTGTAAACTAAATAAATAATGATGCACTCTTGATTCACAATCATCAATTTGATTTTGAGAAACCTGACCTGCACAATCTAGCCCCGAGAAGGATATATATCCTTATAGATCTACTTCACAAGGGATGGTATTCAGCAGGTGTCTGACCATGCTCTTTCGATAGCTCTGTAACATAGGGCAGTCTTCGAGTCACCCTCGGCGCCGTATGTCTGCGGGATACCACTCCCGTCTATTGTTCCCTCAAGAGGCTTGACTATTCGTATAACATTGTTTAGCACCGACAGTCAGATAAAAAAAAATCACATAAAAGTCACATTAGAAAAACTATTTTTGCGGTCTCAACTTTATGTTAATGTGTATAACAACGTAGGAACAGGGGTTCAAAATTTCGAAAAGTCGAATACCTGGAAAGTCCTCGAAAAAGAAAAATCGAATTTTTCCTTTTCACCAAAAGTTAAGGTCGTTCATATCATAGTTATTTTCTACTATGAAGATGGAATCCCGTATTAAGATTTATTGCGTTACTTCATTTATATTATTTAATATCGAATATCTGCAGGGAGTAAAAACTATATTTTTTTCTTGTTACTCTTGTTTATATTTGCATCGTAAAATACATTAATATGAATTAAATATAAAATATAATTTATAATACCATTCTACACTATTCGCGTAAAACAATAGAAAAATGAAAATCAAATATTTATTGTATAATTTCTCTTTTTCTGTGGAAATATTTTTAAGTCTTGGTGGTTAATATCTAAAATTTTTATAAAGATTCATTACAATCTATGATAAAATGGAGCAAGAATAACTTTTTTAAATATGTTTGCAAAAAAATAACAAACAGTTATGTATACGCATAAATTTAGTCTCTCATTTTTCTCTTTTACTTTTATTTTTATTATTATCATTTTGTCTTGCTTTCTATCCCTTTTAGTCATCATGCATTCTTTCGTTTATACTTCAAAGATTTCTCGTTTCTGTACTTTTCTTGTGGAATTCTTTCAAAGAATTTCTTTGCCCGCTGTTTAACGACATTGCGGGATTTCTGTTAAAGCTTTACTTGTCTGCTTAAACATACGGAGTTGTTTCTCTGTGCGCCGCAAAGATCGTGCATGATGTAATGTGAAAGAAGCTATCACAAGAAATAAAATATTGTTATATAAATTATAAAATTATAAATTTGTAAAAGAAAGAAAAAGAGAATATTATAAAAATAATACAAATTTATTTTTTTTAATACAAATTATACAAATTTTATTTGCAATAGTCTTAATATAATATTTTTTGTAATATTTTAAAAAAATAATAATAAACAATAAATATAAAATTTTAAATGTAAAGAGACGCTTGCAGTTCTGTATACTGATAGAAACGGACAATGACTTGATTTTTATCAGTTTAGATTAATTTTAATCTCAATATAACCTATTTTGAATTCGAAGAATTCGAAAGAGATAAAAAGTAAATAAAATCGATTAAAATTAATCTGCATTGGTAGAAATAAACGTAAGAATCAGAAATACTAATTCCAAGGAATGGCGATGACGCTAACTTGATGGGAGTGATGGCTATTGTTTTCCTCAAATGGCACTATTAGGATATTGTTTGACATCGATTGTCCACATATTCACACCAAATAATTTATGATTATGTCTGTAACAACAGTTTAATATATTGATATAAAAAAACATTTTTTAAATACATAAACCATTAAAACATAATTTGACGCTCTTTGTACTGTAAAGATTATATATTGAGTCTATTTATAGCAATCACCGCAAAAAAGAAGAATATAGTATATCGTAAAATAAACTACTAAAAGACTATTAGTTCAACATCAGGTAAAGTAGAACCACACTCGTATCTTGCATTTCGGCGCGCGATTTACAAACGATCTTATTCGTAACCTGTTCTTGTGAAACTTTGTAAAGGAACATTGGACTCTCCGCATTCGTATTACAACTGCGAGGAATTTCGCGTCGTACGAATCAAATAAATAAAAACGGAGTGATTGCTGTTCTCTAGAACTTGAAGAGAATAGTTAACTGAAAAAGACCGCGAATTTATCAAATTCGTTGATATTGTTTCTGAATGATGAATCAAAATTCAAAAATCGAAATTGTAATCACTACAATAGATATTTATAAATATGTTGCACATTTTCTAATCTTTTTTTATTTTACATATAAATGTACATTAATATATCCTATAAAAATTATTTAATTGTATAATAGAAAAGATGCTCAATAAAATTAAAATATGTAAATTTTGAATATATAAAAGTACAAATATTTTTTCATATTAAAATAAATAATTAAGTCAAAAGTTTTTTAAGATTTGATACGGTTTATTCCTCTTTCATTAGATTAAAGTATATATAAAAAATTTATTTAATGAAATATAATTTAATAATAGAAGTTAAAAGTTATTTTTAATAAATTAAATCGAATAAATAAATAAAGATAAAAAAACTATAATTTTTAATTAAATTAACGTAGAATTTTAAAAATTTAATGTTATATCTCTTCAGTAAAATATAACTGTATATTTAACTGTATAAAAATATGTAGCAATTAAAAATTTTTTTATAAATATTTGCGAAAGAAAAAAATCTGATCATAGATATCTATTTAATAATGTAATTTTTTTTAATTTTATAACATTAATAAGTGTGTAGCTTGCAAAATTGTTCATATTGTTACAATCGAGTGATGATCCGCTCGTTGTTGCGCTCCCGAGTAGTATTGATTTACGAGAAGAAGATCACTTCCTGCTGATGTGGTTGTTGTTTGTCAAACTTTGATCGTGGATGAGCTGCGAAATAGCTGCTCTGAATTAATAAAGCTCCCTTCTTTTTTATAAAATGATCTCGTTATTTCGCCAATGAGAAAATACGCGGGGTGCGCGAGCAAATTTGAGTACCTGCCGCGAGCGTGACATTTTTTTAAGTGCAATGAGATGTAAAAAATGGATTGAAGGGTGCATCGATTGGACGCTTTGTTTCAAGAGATAAAGCTTATATCTGCGTCCTTATGGACCCGGTCTGCGGTATCTCTCAAACTGATCCATTGT